TGGACTCAGAAGGAAGGATAGTCTGGTCTGTACAGGTCTCCTGCTGCCCTGAACCACGGAATGATGGACGGAATCCTCACCTGTGCAGAGAGGTCAAAGGTGGCTTCAGTCTGGATCCCTCTCACGTTGCTCCCGTGGCCCCTCTCGGTCATTGCAAACATCCCAGTTTATTTCTGATCCTGGAGTTTACCAGATGTTAGAAGGGAATTAGATGTTCAGATGGTTGCTGTAACTGCAGACCTCTCAGACCATAAAAAATGTTGGTGGGAGAGGGACAGGTGAGTTGGAGGTAACTATAAAATTCACTCTGATGACAGCTAATGTGAACTCAACCATATCACAAGCTCAAGGCAATATAAAAAAGACAGTCTTGAAATTTTCATTCTGAATAAGGTTTTTGCTGACACAAATTCTGTTTTATTTTTTCTTCAAACATACACACACATGCACATCTAACTACTATAGATTTTTAGACTTTCCACTGAAGACATCTATTGAGGAACATGCCGTACCTGGAGTGGCTGAAATCACTTAGTAATATGTCCAGGGCTTCTGAGATTCCTGACTGCACCACCAAACAGCCAATAAATTACTCCACACTGGAAACAAGAACAANAAAGATGGTTTTGCGCGGCTTTTGTTTCGGTTGTAATGTGAAATGCTAGTGCTGGTCACGGCTAAGAACATCACGTCATCCCAGCACAGAGGATGTGGCTTCTTGTAAGGAAACCCCAGCATCGATGGAGCTCCTGCCACAGAGCAGTGCAGGGTGCCAGTGAAGGCACCTCCTCCAGTCCCTCACCTGCTGCTGTGAGGAAGGACCACAAAACAGGATCCATACCGTTCTCATAGAGCTGCTACCAGGACTAAATTAATGAGCACCTGTGAAGTGCTTGGAGCAACGCTGGGCACACTGTAGGCACCACGTAAGTGTGGGCTGGAGTTAGGCTCGTGACACATTCTGACATCCACCTCGACCAAAACACTTAGACCTTTCTTCTGAATCTGAGCTCCTCAGGCCAGAGAGCACACACACAGGCTGTGATGCTGGACTCAGAAGGAAGGATAGTCTGGTCTGTACAGGTCTCCTGCTGCCCTGAACCACGGAACGATGGACGGAATCCTCACCTGTGCAGAGAGGTCAAAGGTGGCTTCAGTCTGGATCCCTCTCACGTTGCTCCCGTGGCCCCTCCCGGTCACTGCAAACATCCCAGTGTATTTCTGCTCCTGGAGTTTACCAGATGTTAGAAGGGAATTAGATGTTCAGATGGTTGCTGTAACTGCAGACCTCTCAGACCATAAAGAATGTTGGCGGGAGAGGGACAGGTGAGTTGGAGGTAACTATAAAATTCACTCTGATGACAGCTAATGTGAACTCAACCATATCACAAGCTTAAGGCAATATAAAAAAGACAGTCTTGAAACTTGCATTCTGAATAAGGTTTTTGCTGACACAAATTCTGTTTTATTTTTTCTTCAAACATACACACACATGCACATCTAACTGCTATGGGTTTTTAGGCTTTCCATAGAAGACATCTATTGAGGAACATGCCGTACCTGGAGTGGCTGAAACCACTAAGTAATATGTCCAGGGCTTCCGAGATTCCTGACTGCACCACCAAACAGCCAATAAATTACTCCACACTGGAAACAAGAACAATACAAACCATCATTAGCATAATCAACAATTTCATAACAATTAAACCCACTGGCCAAACTCCATTCAAGGAGCATCGATTCAGCTCCCTGAGCTTTACCCAAGTCTCACAGGTGGCAAGGTTGCACGCCCTTATCCGGTCACTGCAAACATCCCAGTGTATTTCTGATCCTGGAGTTTACCAGATGTTAGAAGGGAATTAGATGTTCAGATGGTTGCTGTAACTGCAGACCTCTCAGACCATAAAAAATGTTGGTGGGAGAGGGACAGGTGAGTTGGAGGTAACTATAAAATTCACTCTGATGACAGCTAATGTGAACTCAACCATATCACAAGCTTAAGGCAATATAAAAAAGACAGTCTTGAAACTTGCATTCTGAATAAGGTTTTTGCTGACACAAATTGCTTTATTTTTTCTTCAAACATACACACACATGCACATCTAACTGCTATGGGTTTTTAGGCTTTCCATAGAAGACATCTATTGAGGAACATGCCGTACCTGGAGTGGCTGAAACCACTAAGTAATATGTCCAGGGCTTCCGAGATTCCTGACTGCACCACCAAACAGCCAATAAATTACTCCACACTGGAAACAAGAACAATACAAACCATCATTAGCATAATCAACAATTTCATAACAATTAAACCCACTGGCCAAACTCCATTCAAGGAGCATCGATTCAGCTCCCTGAGGTTTACCCGAGTCTCACAGGTGGCAAGGTTGCATGCCCTTATCCTTCGCTGCCTGGCAAGTTCCAGTCCCTCTCTGCAGGCATGGCTCCTGGGTCACTCTCTTCGAGAGCCCCCCAAACTCCACAGAGAGCCAGTCTCTCAACCTCAGGGCTGCCCAGTTCACCCCATCAAATGACTGTTCTGAACAGTCATTTGTCATCTTGGGATGCTTTGTCATCTTGGGATCTACCTAAGTGCCTGGGATGTAGAAGACACACAACCAAGTGTCTGTGCAAAGATCCTAGATGCTGACCACTGTCTGCAGAGGTGAGTCCCACCCCAAGAAACAGGCAGCGACAGCGAGACAGATGGCACGGTCGATGCTTCAAAGCAAGCAGGCACTCAGCTTGGAATGGGGCAGCCTGGGCTCCAATCCCAGCTCAGCCACCCACTGGTGGTAGGATATTGGACAAATGACACAGTAGCCTCAGTTTGTTCACATGACAAATGAAGTGAGTGGTCAGTGCACCACTCACTGAGGTCCGCACACACAAGCCCTGTGAAAAAAACATCATCATTCCCCACTTGACAAAGAGGAGATGCTGGGTTCACAGAGGGGAAGTGACTCACCCAAAGCTGTGCCCTGGGGAATTGGGAGGGGCTGAGGTTCAAGCCCCAGCTGCGCATTGCCTAACAACGCTTCATAAGGTTGACATAAGCCTTCAAGGAGAATTGACTGCCAAGCACTTTGCCTGGTCCTTTATGGACGCTGGGGAAGTGTTGCCAACAAGGAGGAAAAGGAGGAGGAGGCTTGAGCAGGGACACTTGGAGGGGCAGGGCAACTGACTGCCAAGACAGAGACCTTGAGTGAAGGGACATCTGCTGTGTCTGTGGGACAGCATCCCTTCCCCCTTCTAGCCTCACAATTTTGCTCTGGGGAGCCCTTCTCCCTAGAGTCAGTCCAAGTGGTTTGTGGGTGATGCTGACCCCACCCTCATCTGTAGGATGAGTCTGTGGCCCAAGAATGGCTGATGTGTGAGATATCATCCCACTGGCCCTAAGGATGGCTTCAGGGACGGATCCGTGAGCTGAGGGGGTCCATGAAGAGTGGCCGCTGAGACACGTGGGTGAGCTACTGGGGAAGAGAAGCTCTCCCTTTTGATGCAGTGGGAGCTGAAGGGATGGAGGCCTGGTGCTGCTGGAGGCCACATTGCCATGAGCTGGTGAATAAAGCCAATATGTTGGGGAGAGGAGGGAGAGCCAAGGAGACAGAGCCAAGAGCTGAGAGAGACCAGGTCCCACACACCATGCCCGAAGCCTGCTGCTCCTTGGACTCTTGGAGTGCAGCTGCCAAAAGGAGCCTTTTTTGCTTAGGGTTAGACTTTTGTTCTGGGATTGCTGCAGTTGCATGAGGCTTGTGCGCTCCAGGTGGACTATCAACCTGGAATGGCATTCGTGAAATGGCACCGGATCAACTCTAACAGCTCCGACCAGCTGGAATGCTCTGACATCAGGACAGGCAAATTTCACTAATCATACCTGACGTATGACGTGCTTTTCATTTGGGGAATCATACAGTATCCTATCCCTGATTACTCAGCACACTCCTCAGAATCATCACATGCTCCAAGCACTGCAAATTACATCATGAATTTCAACGTGGGAAAATGGAATCCATCCAAATAGTGCATGTTTTTTCCCTAAACCATATTGGAAGTCAAGTTTAAAAAAAATATTTTTCTAAAACTAAAGTGGAATTTTCTTCCCCTGAATCTCTTTGACTGGTGGCTAATGCGTTTTTTGCAATATATTCCTTTTCTAGCTTTTAAATCCTTTCGTCCTCTTTAGGAAGGGGATGGAAACTAGAGTGTTTAATCCACATCTTGAAAGCCTCCACGCACTAATTGTATTAGTAGGGGCCCTGGACTGGCGTATGAACCTGTGGGTTTGCAGAACACTGCAGCAGTTCACAGAGGTGTTATGTGCAAGACCCCAATCCACACAGTCAGATCAAATGCAATCTCTCAATGGCAATCATCTGACCAAGCTGAGCCAAGTGCAGAGTGGGAAGGAGGCACCTAGGGGTTTCTGAGTAGATGACTCCCTGGCCTGTGTTACCTCGTTCAGCAGGTGCCTCCTGGTGGGGGGATGGACCCCAGCCCAGCCGGCAGGAAGGAGGTGGGCAGGTGGGTGCTGGCAGCAGCTCAGACTGCAGTGGTCAACAGAGAGAGGAGGAGAGCAACTCAGGGTAGATTCTGGAGACAGAGCTGATGGTTGGATTTGGGAGGAGAAGAAAAGACAGGACTCCAGGAGACACCTGGTCCTTGGCCTGAGTCAGCGGGTAGATGAAGGCCCATTAACTGTAAGGAGGGAGCTTGGAGGAAGAACCAGGAGGAGAGGACAGGCTCAGCAAGACAGAGGTGCTGAGACTGACAGGCGACGTCTATCACAGGGAGCAGCACATGCCCAGTGAGGATTGGCTGCAGCCTGCAGAGGCAACGACTGGAGATAGCTGAGGGCTGGCAGGTGCGGTGGGGACCGGCCAAAGGGGCCAAAGGATGGGGCTCCGCCAGAACCTCTTCACTCCCAAATGGAAACTAGGAGACCTCCTGTGTGGAAGGGGAATCTGGTAGGCCAGAGCTGGGAACATGGGTTCCCTCCATCCACTAACAAAGCTACGACCTGGAAGACTGTCAAGAAGGGCCATGTCTCAGGGGGTTACAGTCCCCACCACATACTGAGCTCCTGCTACATGCCAGGCTTGGTCTGAAGCTCCTCACAGGCATCATGGATTTAAATCTGTACACAGCCTATGAATGGGCATTAGCAACACCATCTTAATGAAAGAAACACAAAGGTGCAGATGCATTGAGAAACATGCCAGCACTATGACTGGGAAGCCCTAGAGACAGAACATGAACCATGTCGTTCTGACTGTGCCCCTGTTGTGCATGCAGGAAGCCTGCCCAAGCCACACCTGGGATAGGCCACGTTCTTCCTACACAACAGCCTGACAAGGGTCTCCTACAAAAACTAAGTGCATTCAGGGTATTTTCATTCTAAGAGCAAATGGGATACACTGGGGCCCTAGAAGTATTTTTTGAAACAAAAGTAACCCCAGAAAGGAGAGTGTATGACTGAATCTTGTCCCTCCAAACTTCACGTTGAAGCCCTAGACTCCCAACATGATGACATTTGGAGATGGGGTCTTTGGGAGGTAATTTGGGTTAGAAGGGGTCGTAAGGGTGGTACCCCCATGATGAGATTAGTGCCCTTATATACACATGTGTGTGAGGACGCAGTGAGAAGGCGCCATCTGCAAGCCAGGAATGAGCCCTCACCGTAACCCACCCATGCTGGCACCCTGATCTGGACTGTCCAGCTTCCAGAAATGTGGGAAATAAATGTCTGTTGTCTACGGTGTTTTGTTATGGCAGCCCAAACAGACTAAGAGAATAAGAGGATTAAAATAAGGAAAAAAGAGAGCAGCTGTGGGGAAGGAGAGAAGGGAGCATGTCTCGTTTCTTTCAGGTTTAGAGTCCTTCCACACTGCACCCGTCCGTGTTTTTGGCAGAATCTCTTGGACTGGCTCCCAAGGCTCTCAGTAAAGAAGGCTTTCTCCCTTGGCCCCTCTCCAGCGTCCCCACCCCCACCTCTGGGGGTCACTCTCAGAGCAGCCCAGGCCTGCAGCACTTGGCTGCGAGAGAACGGCCGTGTTTGCCCAAAGCGCTCAGGGGAACACGGAGCTTCCTGACAAACACAGAGCTGCAGGGAGAGACCAGGGTTCAGACCAGCAGGGCACAGACGACCTCGACAACTTAATGCTGACATCCCTCCTCAGGATGACACCAGCTCATGCGAAAAGCAGGGGCCACCAGCTGCTCTTGGGCTGGTGGGGGAAATGGGGACCCCCTGAGCAGCCAGAGCTCCCAGGGACTGTTCCCAGCACAATGCAAGCCAGGAATGAGCCCTCACCGTAACCCACCCATGCTGGCACCCTGATCTGGACTGTCCAGCTTCCAGAAATGTGGGAAATAAATGTCTGTTGTCTACGGTGTTTTGTTATGGCAGCCCAAACAGACTAAGAGAATAAGAGGATTAAAATAAGGAAAAAAGAGAGCAGCTGTGGGGAAGGAGAGAAGGGAGCATGTCTCGTTTCTTTCAGGTTTAGAGTCCTTCCACACTGCACCCGTCCGTGTTTTTGGCAGAAGCTCTTGGGCTGGTTCCCAAGGCCCTCAGTAAGGAAGGTTTTCTCCCTTGGCCCCTCTCCAGCGTCCCCACCACCACCTCTGGGGGTCGCTCTCAGAGCAGCCCAGGCTTGCAGCACTTGGCTGTGAGAGAACGGCCGTGTTTGCCCAAAGCGCTCAGGGGAACACAGAGCTTCCTGATAAACACAGAGCTGCCGGGAGAGACCAGGGTTCAGACCCGCGGGGCACAGACGACCTCGACGATTTAATGCTGACATCCCTCCTCAGGATGACACCAGCTCATGCGAAAGGCAGGGGCCACCAGCTACTCTTGGGCTGGTGGGGGAAATGGGGACCCTCTGAGCAGCCAGAGCTCCCAGGGACTGTTCCCAGCACAACCACAAAAAAGACAGCCACGGCTCTCCCAGGCCAGACTCAGGGGCACAGTCTACGAGTTCCCCTAACTGTCTAGGATTTCCATGCTCAGGACAAAAGGAAAAAGATTTCCCACAATGACTGATGTGTGGGAAAGCAAATTACTAACTAATAATTTTTAATTACTTTTATTGTGAGAAAATATAAAGTTTGCTATTTTAGCCATTTTTAAGTGTACAATTCAGTAGCATTATGTACATTCACAATGTTGTGCAACCATCACCCACTACTTCCAAAATTTTTTCATCATCTCAACCAGAAACGCTGTACTCATTAAGCAGTAAGTCCCATTCTCCCCTCCCAACCCCCAGCCTCTGGTAACCTCTGATCTACCTCCTACCTCTATGAATTTATATTTCATATAAGTGGACTCATACAATGTTTGTCCTTTTGTGACTGGCTTACCTCACTTAGCATAATGTTTTCAAGGTTCACCCACGTTGTAGCCTGTATGTGAACTTCATTCCTTCTTAAGACTGAATAATATTCCATTCCAAATGTGTATACACCACATTTGTTTATCCATTCATCTGTCGATGGACACTTGGTTTGCTTCCACCTTTTAGCTATTGTGAATAATGCTGCAATGAACACTGGCATACAAGTATCTGTTTGGGTCCCTGTCAGTTCGTTGGGGAATAGCCCTAGTTCAGGGAATGCTGGGTCATGTGGTAATTCTATGTTTAACCTTTTGAGGAACTGCCATACGGTTTTGATTCTATGCATTCCTTTAATGCTCACGTATTGACACCTACCATGTACCAAAAATATAAGGGTGACCCAACCCCCAGCCTCTGGTAACCTCTGACCTACCTCCTACCTCTATGAATTTATATTTCATACAAGTGGACTCATACAATGTTTGTCCTTTTGTGACTGGCTTACCACACTTAGCATAATGTTTTCAAGGTTCACCCACGTTGTAGCCTGTATGTGAACTTCATTCCTTCTTAAGACTGAATAATATTCCATTCCAAATGTGTATACACCACATTTGTTTATCCATTCATCTGTCGATGGACACTTGGTTTGCTTCCACCTTTTAGCTATTGTGAATAATGCTGC